CCCTTGGGGCAGAAGCAGCCAGCAATGCAGTGGTCCTCGCAGAGCCTGGGAGTGTTCCAGGTTGGAGCAGGTGTCCATGCAGGGCGAGCCACACTCGTGGTACTGCATGTTCAGGGGGCACGTCTGGGCTGCAGGGAGGAGGTCGGGGTCCCCGTCACACCCAGCCCTTGCTTCCAGCCCCAGGCAGGACAGCACGGCGGTGCCAGGGCCCTGGGGCACTCACGGCAGAGGAGGGGGCCCCGCCAGTCCAGGGGCAGCCCCCCGGCATGGGCGCACTGGCGGGAGTACTCGGCGAGGGTGTGGCAGGCGCAGCTGGTCGGGTTGGCCTGCTGACAGTGGCAGAGGTCGTGCCGGCAGGCGTCCAGGTAGCCGCTGGCGTTGACCAGGGCGCTGCAGCCCGAGAGCAGCCCGCCGCTCAGCATCTCCTCGCAGACGTCCTGGAGCAAAGCCAGGGCGCAGGCTCAGCCCAGGCTCGGGGACGTCCCCCGGTTCACGGCCACCTCGGCCTGGGCTGTGGGAGCAGGACCCCCCACCACGACCCCTGTTCGCTCTGGGACTTACAGAGCCGGTCAAGCAGTTCGTCGGGGGCTCAGGGACAGTGTCCTGACACTGCTCCACTGGGCCATCCACCTTCTGGAGGTTTCCAAACTCGATGGGCGTCAGCTTGACATCTGCCAGAAGCACAACGCCGGGCTGTTTGCAGATCCCAGTGCCCCTCGCCACGCCCCCCCCATCCACACCGCCGGGGGGAGCAGCGGCTGTGCAGGACAGTAGCGGAGCCTGGAGATGACAGGAGGAACCCCCAGGTGTTCGGGGCCAAGGCAGCGCTCTGGGACCTGCTACCTGACGCTCGGGGCCGGCACGCAGCCTAGTGGGCTGGGGAGTGACCCCGCCCCTGGCCACTGGGTGCTTGGCAGGCTTCCCGTAAGGCAGCTCCTATGGGTGGGCTTTGTGTGGGGCTCATGGGCCTGGCAGAGGGGACCCCGGGATCGGGGCTGTGGCAGGTGTGGGTCCCATGAAAGGCCACTGCTTGGTGGCAAAGTTTCGAGAACCAAGAAGCAGTGGCAGGGTCTTGTTGGAGCAGGTCAGTGTCAGGAGAGGGTGTGG